AGGCTAGCAACAGCCGGAAGCAAGCCCAGCCTTGCAACTGTCACTGACATGACACTGACTCTGGGGCATAAAGATGCCTTTCTGACCATGCAAGGTCAGTGTCTTGTTGCATGATACGCCGACCAAAAGCGGCCGGAGGAATGGCCTGTGTTGCGCAGATGCTGCCGCGGCACAACTTTTTCATCAGAGCCGCCTCTCTAACACCCAGGCTCTCTCGCCTGACTAGGCTGGCAAAGCGTGTGCTTTGAAATGGCTGGGAACATGCTTGTCAGACGGTGCACGGACGTAGTCTTTCTACAAAGCTGCGCGCAACTAGTCGTCAACTGTCTGAACACCTGTTCACAGGCGCCATTGTGAAAAAATATGCTCGTCTGCCATCGTCTTTCCTGCATCAAACATAAAGTAGCACACATAGACATCACACAATGATGGTTGGCAACGACATGGGGCCGCTTTAACGCTGGCTAATTCCGGCCCGCCTCGCTGGCGAGAAACGGCTGGAAACAAACCCATCAAAACTTGGAAGCTATATGACAATATGACCCACGCGTTGTCACCTGCAAGCGGCATTGCTGCCACGGTCTTGCAGAATCGATTTCTGCTAGCTGCTGCAAACACTCCGGCGAAGAACCTCTCCAATGTGTGGCCGTGCCGTCAGCCAAAGCCTGCCTGTGCCGAGCCTCTGTTCATGCCCAGGTCACCTCTGCTTTCTGGCCACCAACTTGACTTCGCTTAGTTGATCGATCGGGACAATCAGGCAGAGTGCAGGATGAAGTTTTCGTGGCTGTCAATTCACGAAATGAGGCAAAGCAACAAGCCGCGAAACAGCATTGCCCAGAAAACTCGTGTGAACCTAATGAAGACACCGAAGCCGGTCGATTGTCACAGCGTTCAACACCACTTGGCAAGATGCAAGCGGTCAAAGGCAAACATTGAATACGCAAGGCTCGTGCTCGGACATGCTGCGATGGCCTGCTCATGCAGGCCAAACCGTCAGCACGGCCAAATTACATGGCGCCGACGGGAAGTACGGCAGCTGCCATCCAGCTCAACATCTTGCAGCCCAGGCATTCACGTTCACAAAGCCGTGGTTTTCTTGCTTCACCCGAACCGCAGCGCACCCTGGGCTGGCGTGCGTTTCTTGACAAGGCCAAGGGAGCGCTGGGCTGAGATTAGCGTTGAGCTTTTCGGGCTTGGGGCTTCAAAGTTTTGTGGCCTCGCTGGCCTGGAGCATATGGAGAACTAGCCTGCTCGAAATCCGGGGGTCCCAAGCAAAGTTCATAATCCGCGTAGCCCTTGCTCTGCGCGGTTATCTCCTTAATCCGCAACCCCTGCTGCAAATCGTGGGTCGCAGCCTTCTGCTGGAGCATTGAAAATCCATACGTCGCGCACCCTGAGTTGGAGTGCTTTTGGGCTTGAAGCTTCAAAGCTTTGTGGCCACGGAGAAGACTTTGAAGAACCATTGCAAGCAGCCTTGGCGTGCGGTGCGTCAGGCAAAGTCATGTTCACAAGAGCCGCGACGTTCTTGCTTCACTCCATTCTGGAAGCCACGCACCACGCTGCATACGCTGCGCACAAGGCGCAATCAACTTCTCAACACCTGCCTGGGTGGCTTGGCCGCCACAATGCGCAGGAACCATTGTGAACAAATCTGCTCGTCTGCCATCGCCATTCCTGCATCACACATAAAGTAGCCCACATAGACATCACACAATGATGGCTGGCATCGACATGGGGCCGCTTTGAAACTGCACAAATCGTACGCCAACACTGGCGAATTGTGATGAGCTTCCGGCCCGCATCACCGGCGAGAAACGGCTGGAAACAAACCCGTGAAGGCTTGGAAGCTGTATGACCCGTGCTGGGTCACCTGCAAGCGGCAGTGCTGCCACGGTCTTGCAGAATCGATTTCTGCTAGCTGCTGCAAACACTCCCAGCGAAGAACCCCTCCAATCTCAAGACTCTCCCGGCTGACTACTCGAAAGCGTGTGCTTCCACATGCTTTTTGCCCGTCAGCCAGGCCGACAAATTGCTGCCACTTTCAGGTTTGCGCAGGACACTGGCACCAGTCTGCACGCTAAATTGTTGGCCTGTCCGCGGAGGCTCTTGCCTGATGAAATTGCGGAGCCATACATCACACACCCTGGAGTTGGAGTGTTTTCCCTGGGCGCTGAGCGTTTCGGGCTTAGTTCAGCTTGTGGCACCGCTGGCCCAAGCCCTGATGTCCAGAGTTCCTACAATCATACAGCTGGCCCGCTGAGACGAGAGGCTCATCGTGGGATCCGCGACGCGACCTGGCCTTGTTCATCGGTCTGAACAGTCAGGTGGAGTTCAGGATAAAGACCTTGTGTCTGTCAATTGCCGAAATGCAACAAGCCACCAAACAGCATTGCCCAGACAAGTTGCGTGAACTTGATGAAACCCCAGAAACTACGCTTGGTAAGATGCAATCGGTCAAAGGCAAGTGTTGAATGTGGAAAGCCCGCGCTCGGACATGCTGCAGCGGCACCTGCTGGCCATCACGCAGGCCGTTTCTGAGCCCTGGGTCTGAGAAGATGGGCAAACTGCGCAGGACAAAGGGCTGGCCGGCCAAAGCGTCAGCAAGTACCACTTGGCAACACGTAACCAATCAAAGGCAGATCTTGCCTGCGTTCGGACATGCTGTTTGGCCTGTGGCACGCAGGGCAACGTGCTTCTGAGCCTGACATATTTGTCACACGGTGTACGGATGAAGTTTTTCTGCGACGCTGCACGCAGCTTGTAGTCAACTGTTTCGGGATTAATTAAGCTTGCATCACCTTCGGCCCAAGCCCGCGTCCGGTCCCCAAAAGCGGCCGTCGCTACAATCAGCTGCTGTGTCAGGCAAAAGTCACAATCGCAGCGGCCACGACTTGCTTGCTTCAATTGATTTTGGGAACGCGCCATGTCGAGGTGGAGTGCGCTGCTACCCCGTCCCCAGCCTCAAAAATCCTATACTCTACAGCACGTATTTGTGAAAGTCCGCTGGAGCCAGAGTTAGACAACACCTGAAGCCACAAGCATGCCGCAACCCAATTTAGTACAGTATTACAGTAAACGGCACATGTGAAATCACTGCAGGGGAAAGGCTTCGTGACAGCTGGCGCATGCTGAGCTACGAATTCAGCCAAACAAGCACGTTGAACTGCCATGGCCCTGGAAAGAGACGCATCGCAGTGGCCAAGAGCAAAGCTAGCAGCTAGGGAAGAGAAAGTCGGCCAGCTTCGGCAAGTGTGTTGGGAGCCGCTGGCCGGGAGCAAGTGAAAAAACACAAGGAACCCACAGGACTTTTCTACCACAAAGGGTTTATAAGCCAACCAATCGAAGGGCATGTCCCTTTTGGGGTCCGTGCTCTGCTTGACATGGGCAGTGCCAATAGAGCACTGCGCTGAGATTAGTGACGCGTTTTCGGGCTTAGAGACGAAAAGTCCAAGTGCAACGCCTAATAGTCCTCTACTGATAGCAACGCACCAAAAACGGCAGCTTTCGAACCTTGACACCACTTCGCCGGACGCAAGCAGGCAACAGCAATCCTCGATTGCGGCCCTCTGTGCCACTCATTTCAGCTAAGCAGTCTGGATGCATGACTTGGCCGAGGAGTTCCTAGTGCGTGACCTGCGCACGGGGTCAGAACCCAAGCAAGCTAGTTAGCCATTTTGTTAATGAGGTGTCGGCAAGACTGCCAGATGACTAGCTAGCTTGTTAACTATCTGTCCAGCTGATTACCTAATAAGCTTGCTAGGTAACTTGCTAGTTCGACAATTAGTTAAGCTTAGAAGGACTGTCCTAACACAGGGGCTATGAGCGGCCTTGGTAGGCAATGCTGCGTCAGGCAAAAGTCACACTCGCAGTATTCACGACTTTCTTGCTTCAGTCGATTTTGGGAGCCATGCGTCACGCACCAACTCAAGGTGGAGTGCTTTGCTTGACATAGGCAGCCCTGGACATGAAAGCTTTGCGTTGGCCTGAGCCACAGGGAAGCCGCAAAGCTCAGACTAAGCTTGCGGAGCCTACAAGTTGCGCACCACCCGCGTCTGGTCTCCAACAGCGGCCGTCGCTACAATCAGCTGCTGAGAGGAGCATCGCAGCAGCCACGACTTGCTTGCTTCATCGATTTTGGGAGCCATACGTCACGCACCATGTCGAGGTGGACTGCGTTGCTTGACCTGGGAGCCTTGGCTTGATGAAACTAACGTTGAGCGCTTGGGGCTTAATCTTGCGAAGCCTCAAAGATGTATATCCTCATCGGCCGCCGTGTGGAAACTACCTGTAAGCAGGATCAAACCGGTCAAGTGCAAACTGGTTCAAGCAATGCCCAGTCCTCCAAGAATAGTACCAAAAAGGGCTTTTGAGGCTTGACACCACCTCGCAGGATGCAAGCAATCCGAAGCAATCCTCGACTGCGGCCCTCAGTGTCAGCTGAGCCTGCGGCACTTTGCGGAACAGAAGACATGGGCTTGAGCAGGTGCAGCTGGCTCCAACTTGCCGAGCCCGGATTCTGCAAACACATGTTTCCTAAACAGCCTGCGCATTGAAAACCGCACGGCTGCAACACAAGTGCCCACGGAATGCCAGCGCAAGCTGGGAAATTGGCGCGATGCCGCAATCACTGTGAGTCTAGCCTGCTCGAAACCCATTCGGGCCTAATCACAATCCGTACTCTGCTCAATCCTTGTTCTGGTTGGTACTGTTCTCAATCAATCCACGCTGCAAAGCGTGATTCGAAAAGTTGTGCTGGAGCATTAACACCCATCAAACACACCATCCGCAATCCGTAAACCACAAAGTTCAACACAGGATCACGATTGACAAGGACCTGGGGCCAATTCAGCCTCCAATATGGCCTCTAACCTGGCGTAGGCTGATGTTGGCTGACACTGATGTGCTTCCGGCTCGCGTCGTTGGCAAGAAACGGCTGCCAAACCCATGAATCCCGCAAGCTGTAGGGCGCATGCTTTTGCCACTTGCCAGCGGCAGTGCTGCTACGGCCTTGCAGAATCGCTTTCTGCAAGCTGCTGCAAACACTCCCAGCGAAGAACCTCTCTAATACCACCAAGCTTCTTTCGGCCAACTAAACTGGCAGAGCGTGCACTTACAGACGCTTGTTGGCCTATGCGCACAAGCTCTTGCTGGATGAAATTGCTACAGCCCACGCTCGGACATGCCGCGTCGACAGTGCAGGACATAGAGCCTGAGAGCTTCGTACCATCATTGGCCTGAAGCACATGGAGAATGGAGAAAGCCTGATTCCACCACCTCAATGCGCCCACGGAAGCCGCAGCCAAGACATCTGCGGAGAAGACTTTGGAGAGCGTCTGCAGCGGCCTTGGTTGGCGATGCTGCCTCACGACTTTCTTGCGGCAGTCGATTTTGGAAGCCATACGTCACGCACCCGGTGCCTAAACTGGCAGAGCGTGCACTTACACACGCTTTGTTGGCTGTCAGCCAGGCTCACAATGTTTGTGACATGGTGCATGGAGTCTTGCTGCATAAGCTGCGCGCAAGGTGTTGTCAACTATCTGAACACCTACTCTCGGTGTCTTGTCCAGCGGCGCTGCGCCCACTACAATGCGAAGGCGCCATTGTGAACAAAGCTGCTGGGCTGCCATCGCCCTTCTTGGACCAAACGACAAGTTGAGCACATATATGGACAACACTGGATCATGATTGACAAGGACATGGGGCCAATTCAACATCTAATCTGGCCTCTAATATGGCGTACGCTGATGTTGGCTACTACTAGGCTATTACCGAAGCGCTTCCGGCTCGCATCGCTGCCGAGAAACAGCTGGAACCAAACCGATGAAGACTCGGCAGCTGTGTGGCGCACGCTTTTGTCACCTGCAAGCGGCAGTGCTGCAACGTCCTTGCAGACCATTTTCTGCAAGATGCTGCAAACACTCCCAGCGGAGAACCTCTCTAATACTACAAAGGTTTTTTCGGCTAACTAGGCTAAAGCGTGCGCTTGCACACGATTTATTGGCCGTCAGCCAGGCCGACAAATTGCTGCCACAATCACAATCACTCTTGCGCAGCACACTGGCACCTGTCTGCATGCTGAATTGTTGCCTGATGAAATTGCTTCAGCCCGCTCGGACATGCCACGTTGGGCAAACTGAAGTTGGAGACGTGGACAAAGGAGCGCTGGACTGACGAGATTAACATTGAGCGTAAACCCAATCAAAGGGCCTGTCCCTCTGGTCCTTTACAGTGCCTGTTGGCTTGCCAGTGTGCCAGTTTGAGAGCCAATTAAGCTTGGCAGGGTTATGAGCCAGCTTTTAAATTGCCCTTTGATTCCCTGTAAGGCTGCAAACGGTCCCAACCTGACTCTCATTCGCCGGTCAGCGAAACAATCTGTTGCAACTGTTGCACAAAAGCAGGCTGGCGAAACATCGCAGGCCAATTGCAAACTATAGTTGAAGCAATGCCTAGTCCTCCAAGGACAATACCAAAATAGGCTGCTCGTGCGGCTTGACACCACGAAACAATCCTCGATTGCGTCCCTCTGCAACACTCATTTCAGCAAAGCACTCTGTGTACATGGAACCTCGGACGCACAATGACCCAACCGAGCGGCACTTGTGTCAGCTGCGGCGGGCGAATGCTTGCTGCGTGAGCTGCGTGCAGGGGGTCATCCCATCAGACAGCAGCGGTGCTGCGGTGCAGCTACGAATTCAGCCAGACAAGCACCGCCACAAAGAGACGCATCGCAGTGGCCAAGAGCAAAGCTGGCAGCAGGTGTGGGGGAGTAAGTTGGCCAGCTTCGGCAAGTGTGCTGGTGTGTTGGGAGCCCCTGGCCTTCATCAAATCAAACAACCCAAAGACTTTGGAGATCATTGGCAGCGGCCGTGTTGGGCGATGCTGATTGGCCTGTGGTCCATCCGGTGATAAAACACCGCGCGAACCTGCAGAAGACCACGCCTGTACAGGAAGCAGCTCTGTCAATTCCCGGGTTGCTGGCCACTGCTGGGCTTGCCACAGTAGAAGCGAACAGTCCGGGCAATCATGCACGGAGACGCCGTTCTTTGAAAGCGTCTGCGCCCTTCGCGAGAATTGGTCTGACAGCCTAGCCAGGTCTTCTGAAAGGCGTTCGCTTGAAAACCGGAGAGTGTTGGTCTGCTCGGCTCCAAAATCACATCCTTTCGTGAAATGGGGGGCCCCAGTAAAACAGCCCATGGCATTTCCGAATGAATGACCTTTTGGTTTCCAAAGCTCGGCAGGTGGCGGCCATGGCCCAGGCCTTCGCCGTGCTGCTCTCGAGCTTGCAGCATGCCTGTCAGATGGTGCACGATAAGCCTTGCCGCGTAAGCTGCGCGCATCAACTGTCTGAGCACCTGCTCGTGGCGCCTTGTCCAGTGGCGATACTTTTGTCCACCACAATGCGCAGGCGCCACTGTGAACAAATTTGCTCGTCTGCCACCGCCCTTCCTGGACCAAACAAAAAGTGAAACACATGACCCAACCCCGCGGCACTTGTGTCAGCTCCGGTGGTCAAAAATCGGGTAACCCCAAAGTGGAACTGGTCAAAAAAAAACATAGCTGGATGTCCAAAATGCTCAACATGGAACTCTGGTGAAGGGAAGCATGGACTAAAACCTGGCTGGTTTTCAGGCGCTTTCATTTTGACCCATATCCATTCGGTAACGGATCTTTGGCCTTTGACACTTTGAAGCCGAGCGGCTTTTCCATTAAGCCCACAAAACGGCGAAACTTTGCACAGAGTCGTCAACCTCGTTTGTTGGTTTTCCAACCCGCTTGGCAAGTGGTTAGCGCTGGCACTCGACGGAGCGCTGAGGAGTGGTTGCTATCAGACCACCCAAGCAAGGCCATGCCTGACCCATCAGACAGCAGCGGTGCTGCGGTGCAGCTACGAATTCAGCCAGACAAGTGACATGGCCCGCAAAGAGACGCGTCGCAGTGGCCAAGAGCAAAGCTGACAGCAGGTGGGGAAGAGTATTTCGGCCAGCTTTGGCAACTGTGTTGGGAGCCGCTGGCCTTGATCATTGTTTTTCGACCGAAGGAACCTGTGGCCAAGATACCTGCTGAGAATACTTTATGGAGATCATTGGAAGTGGCCTTGTTGGGCGATTCTGCGTGGCCTGTGGTCCATCCAGTGAATATACCGCGCGCCCCTGCAGAAGACCACGCCTGTACAGGAAGCAGCTCTGTCAATTCCCGGGTTGCTGGGCACTGCTGGGCTTGCCACAGTAAAAGCGTGCATGGGGACGCCGTTCTTTGAACGAATTCAGCCAGACAAGCGCCATGGCCCGCAAAGAGACGCATCGCAGTGGCCAAGAGCAAGGCTGGCAACAGGTGGGGAAGAGTAGTTCGGCCAGCTTTGGCAACTGTGTTGGGAGCCGCTGGCCTTGATCAAACGAACAGACCTAAGGAACCTGTGACTAAGATACCTGCTGAGAATACTTTGGAGATCATTGGAAGCTGCCTTGTTGGGCGATGCTGCGTGGCCTGCGGTCCATACACCGCGCGCCCTGCAGAAGACCACGCCTGTACAGGAAGCAGCTCTGTCAATTCCCGGGTTGCTGGGCACTGCTGGACTTGCCACAGTAGAAGCGAACAGTCCGGGCAATCATGCATGGAGACGCCGTTCTTTGAAAGCGTCTGCACCCTTCGTGAGAATTGGTCTGACAGCCTAGCTATGCGCCCCGCGTGCGCCAGGCGGGGGTTTGGGCTGGGTCGATTGAAAACTGGAGAGTCTGTTGGTCTGCTTGGCTCCAAAATCACCTGATCCTTTGAAATGGGGGGCCCCTGTAAAACACCCCATAACTTTTCCGAATGAAATGACCTTTTGATTTCCAAAGCTCGAGCAGGTCACTCCGCTTGCTTCTCGCAGGCGCGGCAGGTGGCGGCCACGGCCCAGGCCTTCGCCGTGCTGCTCTCGAGCTTGCAGCATGCCTGTCAGATGGTGCACGATAAGCCTTGCCGCGGAAGCTGCGCGCATCAACGGTCTGAACACCTGCTCTCGGTGCCTTGTCCAGTGGCAATACTTTTGTCCAGCACAATGTGCAGGCGCCACTGTGAACAAATTTGCTCGTCTGCCACCGCCCTTCCTGGACCAAACAAAAGTGAAACGCATAGGCAACAGGCCCTGTGTACATGGAACCTCGGACGCACAATGTGACCCAACCCCGCGGCACTTGTGTCAGCTCCGGTGGTCAAAAATCGGGTAACCCCAAAGTGGAACTGGTCAAAAACAAATCATAGCTGGATGTCCAAAAATGCTCAACATGGAACTCTGGTGAAGGGAAGCATGGACTAAAACCTGGCGGGTTTCCGGGTGCTTTCATTTTGACCCATATCCATTCGGTAACGGATCTTTGGACTTTAACACTTTTTGGTTGAGGCAGGGCGGATTTTCCATTGGGCCCACAAAAAAGCGAAACTCTGTGCAGAGTAAGTGGTTAGCGCTGGTTATCGACGGAGCGCTGAGGAGTGGTTGCTAGCCGACCATCCAAGCAAGGCCATGCCTGACCAGTCAGACAGCAGCGGTGCTGCGGCGCAGCTACGAATTCAGCCAGACATGGCCCGCAAAGAGACGCGTCGCAGTGGCCAAGAGCAAAGCTGACAGCAGGTGGGGAAGAGTATTTCGACAAGCTTCGGCAACTGTGTTGGGAGCCGCTGTCCTTGATCAAATGAACGACCAAACGACCGAAGGAACCTGTGGCCAAGATACCTGCTGAGAATACTTTGGAGATCGTTGGCAGCAGCCTTGTTGGGCGATGCTGATTGGCCTGTGGTCCATCCGGTGATGATACACCGCGCGCCCTGCAGAAGACCGCGCCTGTACAGGAAGCAGCTCTGTCAATTCCCGGGTTGCTGGCCACTGCCGGGCTTGCCACAGTAGAAGCGAACAGTCCAGGAGACGCCGTTCTTTGAAAGCGTCTGCGCCCTTCGTGAGAATTGGTCTGATGCGCCTGACGTGGGGTCTGGGCTGGGGCGTTCGCTTGAAAACCGGAGAGTGTGTTGGTCTGCTCGGCTTCAAAATCACCTGATCCTTTCGTGAAATGGGGGGCCCCAGTAAGACAGCCCATGGCTTTTCCGAATGCGACGACCTTTTGGTCTCCAAAGCTCGAGCAAGTATGCCAGTTGATATTGCGATGCCACATCCCAAGGATTTTTAGCAAAGTTCGTCTCATTTATTCGCATAGATTGAAAAGAAGATGCGATACTTTTGTCCACCACAACGTGCAGGCGCCATTGTGAACAAATTTGCAATTCTGCCACCGCCCTCCCTCGACCAAACATAAAGTGAAGCACATAGGCAACACAGGCTGATGGTTGGCAAGGACGTGGGGCCAATTCAGTGCAAGTTGAGCTTGCGTGCATTCTTGTCAGATGGTTCATGGATCAAGTCTTGCTGCATAAGCGCCGCGCAAGAGTGGCATTGCGCCCACCACAATGCGCAGGCGCCATTGCGAACAAGTTTTTTTGTCTGCCATCGTCCATTTCGGATCAAACATGAAGTTGATCAAGCAAGTTGAACACATGAACAACACGGGATGATGGTTGGCAAGGACATAGGGCCAATTCAATCTCTAAGATAGCGTACACTGATGTTGGCTGATACCGATGTGCCTCCGGCTTGCACCACGGGCAAGAAACGGCTGGAACCAAACCGATGAAGGCTATGATTTGTCACCTGCAAGCGGCAGTGCTGCCACGGCCTTGCAGAATCGGTTTCTGCTAGATGCTGCAAACACTCCCAGCGGAAGACTTTGAAGAGCGTTTGCATCGGCCTTGGTTGGCGATGCTGCGTCACGACTCTCTTGCGGCAGTTGATTTGGAAGCCATACGTCACGCACCTCGTGAAGTTGGAGACGTGGGCGAAACCAAAGGAGCACTGGACTGATGAGATTAACGTTGATTTCTGGGCTGATCTTTTGGAGCCCAAAAGCTGTATCTCCTCGTCGCCGGGCCACTTAATTCAAACGCAGGCAGGCTGCCGTCCACAAGAAGAAAACAAATTGAAAAACTGCGAGCCGCTTGGACACTGGTACAACCTTCCATACAGAGCACCACTCAATTGCTGATGCAAAACTTGGAAGGTGTCGACGCTTGCGTACACCAATTGGGGCGGCCGGACGCGCTGCCAAAAATGAGCTCAGTCTGGCGGAGCAGCGCATGCACCAAAGAGACCGAGTTCAGCCTACGATCCCAATTTCATGCAAATCATCAGAACTGTTTGCCCGAGCTGTGGCTAGGACTGCCGTAGCCATCTGTACGCGTGCGCGCGGCCGACACATGCAGCTAGCAAATGCGGGTTTTCTTGCGAATCCGCTGGAACTGTTGGTGCCTGTTGGTCGCAACTTGGGCCGCTGGGCGGCGCAGAAACACGGAACAACCCGTGATCCGTAGAACGGGCTTTGTGGCCGAGGATGCCGGGACGAATGTCCAGCGCGCATTCTTTGGTTGAACACGGCCTGTTTCTTTGAAATGGCACGCGGACCACAGGGCAATAATGCCATTTCTCCGAGGATGGAACGATCACGCCATCACTGCGGACATGCCACACGTGGGTTTCTACTGGGATTAGTCTGCACTCAGCTCGTCTTCGCTGCTCGGTTCATCATACCCAGGCTCAGCACGGTGACAGTACACACCCAATTTTGTCTCCAACACCCAGCCAACCCAGTGCACACTTATGCCAGGCATCGGGCAGCCAAACCCCAGTGCATCCCTTCTGCTCAATCTGGCAAAGCCATTGCGCCCGGAAACCGCGCCCCAAAATGCAGGCCCAACGTGGGCATTGAATATCTCTCTTCCGCTTCGGCCTTGAGCCTGGAGTAAACCTCGAAGCCTGGAATTCCCAGCGGCGCCGCAGTGCAAATCACTTGCACGAACCAAAAACAAACAAAATGCATGAAGAAAGCGGTTCGGCAAAACGAACGGCTTGCGGGGCGTTCCTCAATCCCACTCAGTGGTTTCAGTCAAGTATTGGAAGCATGCCGTCCGTGTTGCCGTTTACCAGCAAAACCTGCGCAGGGGGGACGCCACACAGCTGACTTATGCGGACTTACGCAACGTAGCTTACGCAGCGTGACTTACTCAAACTGACTTACGCAGCCTGACTTACACAGCCTGACTTACGCAGCGTGACTAACGCAGCCTAGCTGACACAGCGTGACTTACTGAAACTGACTTACGCAGTCTGACTTACGCAGCCTGGCTCACGTAGCCTGATTTACTCAGCCTTACTTACGCAGCCTGATTTACTCAGCCTGACTTACGCAGCCTGACTTACGCAGCCTGACTTACGCAGTCCGACTTACGCAGCCTCACTTACGCATGATAGCTCACGCAGCCGAAGCTCCCAGCCTTCAATCCGATCTTCTTTCTTAGCCGGGGTTGGGTCTGGCGGGCGCTGGGGGATGAACCTTTGTCGGAACGCTTGCGCTATGGCGCCGTGCAAGTTTTCAACGTGGCCCGCGAACCTTCTACGGAGATTGAGCGTGTCGGATCGCTCTCGCTGCGGCGCCATGCGAATTTGCAACGTCGCTCGCAAACCTTCTGCGGAGATTGTGCGTGTCGGATCGCTCTCGCTGTGGCGCCGTGCGAATTTTCAACGTCGCCCGCGAACCCTCTGCGAGGAATTTTTTACGTCGCCCGCGAACCCTCTGCGGAGATTGTGCGTGTCGGATCCCTCTCGCTGTGGCGCCGTGCGAATTTTCTACGTGGCCCGCGAACCCTCCGCGGAGACTGTGCGTGTCGAATCGCTCTCGCTGTGGCGCCGTGCAAATTTTCCGCGTGGTCCGCGAACCCTCTGCGGAGATTGTGCGTGTCGGATCCCTCTCGCTGTGGCGCCGTGCGAATTTTCTATGTGGCCCGCGAACCCTCCGCGGAGATTGTGCGTGTCGAATCGCTCTCGCTGTGGCGCCGTGCGAATTTTCTGCGTGGTCCGCGAACCCTCTGCGGAGATTGTGCAAATCGCTCTCGCTGTGGCGTTGCGCGAATCTTAAAGCTCGCCGACAAACCCTCTGCGGAGATCGTGCGTGTCGGAGCGCTCTCGCTGTGGCGCCGTGCGAACTCGCCAACGAACCCTCTGTGGAGATCGTGCGTGTTGGATCGCTCTCGCTGCGGCGCCGTGCGAATCTCAAACCTCGCCGACGAACCCTCTGCGGCGACTGTGCGTGTCGGAGCGCTCTCGCTGTGGCGCCGTGCAAATTGGATTGCTCTCGCTGCGGCGCCGTGCAAACTCGCCAACGAACCCTCTGTGGAGATCGTGCGTGTTGGATCGCTCTCGCTGCGGCGCCGTGCGAATCTCAAAGCTCGCCGACGAACCCTCTGCGGCGACTGTGCGTGTCGGAGCGCTCTCGCTGTGGCGCCGTGCGAATTGGATTGCTCTCGCTGCGGCGCCGTGCGAATTTGCAACTTCGCCGACGAACCCTTTGCGGAGATTGCAATTGTCGGAGCTCTCGCTGTGGTTTTCATGAAATTTAAGTACAAGAGTAGTACACGAAGCACGCTCCCGCAGCTCCGGCCTGAGAATCGCAAGTTTGAAGTAGAAAGGTAATACGCGAACTATGCTCCCGCAACTCCAGCCTGAGAATCGCAAGTTTTAAGTATAGAAAAGAGTTGCGAAGTGCGCTCCCGCAACTCCGGCCCGAGAATTGCGCATTGTAAGTAGAAAAGTAGTACACAAAGCACACTCCTGCAGCTCCAGCTTGCAAAAAAAGACAAGGAGAGAGAAGAGACAGAAAGAGAAAGAGAAAGATAAAGGGAAGGAGAAAGAAAGAGAGAGAGAGAGAGAGAGCGAGAGAGAGAGAGAGAGCAAGAGAGAGCGAGAGAGAGCGAGAGAGAGAGAGAGAGAGAGAGAGAGAGAGCAAGAGAGAGCGAGAGAGAGCGAGAGAGAGAGAGAGAGAGAGAGAGAGAGAGAGAGAGAGAGAGAGAGAGAGAGAGAGAGAGAGAGAGAGCGAGACAGAAAGAGAGAGAGAGAGAGGGAGAGAAAAAAGAGAGAGAGGGAGAGGGAGGGAGGGGGAGAGGGAGAGGGAGAGGGAGAGGGAGAGAGGGAGCGGGAAAGAAACAGAGAGAGAGAGAGAGAAAGACAGCGAGGAGAGAGAGAGCGAGAGAAGGAGAGAGAAAGAAAGGAGAAAGAGAAAAAGAGAGAGAGAGAGAAAGAGAAACAAAGAAAGAGAGAGACAGAGAAAGATAAAGATAAAGAGAAAGAGAAAGAGAAAGAAAGAGAGAGAGAGAGAGAGAGAGAGAGAGAGAGAGAGAAGGAGAAAGAGAAAGAGACAGAGAAAAAGAACCAGACAGAGAGAGGGAGAGAGCAAAAAAGAAGGATAAAGAGAAAGAGAGAAAGAGAGAAAGAGAGAGAGAGAGAGAGAGAGAGGGTCGCCAAAAACCTGGTTCACGCCACAAACTGATAGGCCCGCATTCACGTCCTCCCCCACAATTCCGCCCATCTGCATTCACGCCGAACCCTCTGCGTCCGACGGAAAGGCTGCATCCTGCCGAGGGCTTCTACAAAGTCATACAAGATGTGCTGGAAAAGGAGCCGAGGAGTTGCCGCAGTGCTTTGGTGGATCAACAGGTTGTGTCCCTATGGGCGAAATTCCGTGCCGACGTTGGAAGCCAGGAGCTGCATCTTGTGAATCACTCAGCGCTCCGCTCGGACATGTCACACGTCATCAGAACACATGCCCCTTTACTAGCCTTGGACTGAGAGTCGAAAAAAATATCGAATGCGTCTTTTCACGAATGGGCCATCCTCAAATGCCAGGGTACGAGCAAGAGCCGTCCGCATTGGCCTCACAGCTGGAGTTCTGCGCGCAGCAGTAGGGCAGCTGGCTGAGCGGAGGGAAGGCATCCTGGAGCCAAGCGCCAACCCAAAGCGACTCGCCGATCTCATTCCAACTGACATCCAACGATCCTTATAGGATGGAATCCAGCCAAAGTACGAAAGGCAAGTTGCTGGCACCTGGTGGTTTCTTTCAAATTTTGTCAACCTGCAAGCAAAGAGGCATGAAGCTATATTTTTGCGGCGAAGGATCGGGCTTTGGCTGCCTGCCCTGGGTGGATGTCCCACCCAGCATGCGGCAATGGCATGCAAAGTAGGGAGCTACACTACCAGTTTCTGCCATTGGTTGCCCAAATAAAGCCGCCATGTTGCGATCCCAGGCAGTTGCAGGGCAATGAA